GGTATCTCTTCACTGAGTGTGCCTGCTAGGCAATTGTGTCTGTCCGGATGATCCTAATTGTACCTGTCCAACTTTCCAATGTAGTTTATATTCAAGAAATTTAAATATGCAATATAATAGCTGGTTTGGGCTGATAAAAACAAAGTCAGTATCTCCATAATTGAGGTTCTGGAGTGGAACTCAGTGGAGATCAGATAATTGCAAAAGAGGTTAAGCATGTTCTAGAATTATACATGCCTAAACAATCCTCTAACTCAGGTTATTGCCTGAAACAATCCCCTAACTCAGGTTAAATAGATCTCCAAACAAAACAGCATTCTTTAGCATTTATAACAAATATTTACATTATAGAAATTTATATAAAACAAAGCTGTTGACTAAAATGGCACTGAAATTTGTGTAGTGGTACATTTCTGATTAGTTTTCCCATTAACTTTACATGCTTGTAGGTTATTACAACACAATGAAAATGAAACAAGGCTGCAAATGCCTGACACCTCATTCAAGTAATTATTTTACCTGAAGCAGCTCTATTGCTTTTGTGTGCTGCTTTTCACGGCAGAGCTGGGCAGCTTGGATTAACACAGGTAAGAGATGCTCTGGACTCTGGGACTGTAAACTGGCAGATATTTTGCGGCATTGTTCAGCCTAGAAGATACCCAACCCCCACAACAAAAATAAACTGGTTAATGAAATTAAACACTAAATGACCAGAAAGAAAAGAAACATGGGAAAATTAGTTGAAACAAATATTAACCAAAGAACTGCCTAGGATAAGAGAATCAGTTTACAGTATCTATTCTCAATTTTTTCTTGTAAGAAAATGATTTCTATTTATTGAATTTAATCTATGAACTCTAGAAGCCTTTAGTAAAGGAGAAATTCTAAACATTCACTTGGATGCCTAAATTCTAGAACTGTTTAAAAAAATCAAACACATCAAGTATAAGCATTTGCTTCAAAAACAAAATGCATATGTATTGTTTGTTAAATTATTAAGAATAACTTGACTCAGTTCTAAATAATAGAAACAC